ATTGCTACAGGTCGCATAGGAGTCTATACCTTCTGACGAGCTATTGTCACTAGTTGGCAGCATGCACGAAAGATGTGTAGCAGTGATAAAGGCAAATGGAGGGTACACAAAGTATTAGGATGGAGAAGACACACAAAACATGAAGTACGCTTTCATTTCAGTTGCGAGCCATACTGAGGGCTTCGATGTAGACTTTTGTAATAAAGAGCAATAATATTTGAAATAGATGTGCATTTTTAGAGAATATCAATTGATTTTTTTAATTTTGAATTTCAAATGAGGACCATTGTACTTTTCCCATTGAGTTGAAAACCATACCCATAATTCAGACTTTCACGGAATGTCATTGGATAGTACTCCTTGCTTGCATAACTAGTCGAGTAACTAGACATGGGCCTGCATGAAGATCATACCAATTAAGGCAAAATGTACAGGGATCTAACCCCAGTCATTTGGACAATTTTACTTTTGCCACCCATAAGAGACTGTATGCGAGTACTGCACAGCCCCACATGGCCATCATTACGATCGACTTTTGGGGCGCAGCTCTATACAATGGCATAGAGTAATGTGGGATAGTATGGCATTAACATTGTAGTACTTCCTGCACAGACGGTGATGTACTGTACAGCGGTATAGCAGGTGCTAAATATGTGTATATAGATCCTATCTGTCTGCAGAGGCGAGATTGAGTAACAAATTCTTCACTTCGACGAGGATTCCCAATCGCTTCCGCCACCTGTATCGTCTTCATCTCTCAAAACATTCCCCTATCACCATTATCATGAAGCTAACCACCATCAGATCAGATGGTAGGATCGAAGCCATATTCATCACCAACCCTTGATCATGGAGGAGAAGCCATCCGATGAGTTTCCGGAGCGTACCCAGCAACCGATACGGAGATGGTGGATTGGATCAAGTCGGTCTCAACTGTAACAAAGAAGAGAGATATAGATGAATATGCGCACCTCATGTAGTCCCGGCGTCTGAGACTCGCCTGGCCGGGGCTGCAGGTTTTTTGAGACTTTTTCCCGCGCACACTGTTTCCATTGCTAACATTTTATTTACATATATTTTTTTTGGGTAGAAGGTTCCGTGGAAAAGGTGGCCAAATTCCACGGGTAAACACTGAGCTGAATGGCTATTCATCAAGGGCAATATATCAATGATCTTTCATGTAAGAAAGGAGGATAGGAGCACTGTACAAGGTGTGACTTGGGCCAGAGAGGAGCCCAATGTGCTAGATAGTCATAGACTCAAGTAGTACAATAAAACACACACACACTTACTCCAATTTCTCCTTCCATAGCCAATTTATCTTATATTTCCAAGGCTGCCTCTCTACCATTTTCGTAACTCGTGATTCCGTGTCATAGCTATATAGCTGAATACACTATGAATTTATTTAAAACAAAGATTGATATCGTAGTCCGCCTCCTGTCGATGATCTCCGGTAAGGTTTGAGTAGCCTGAACACCTGCTCCACTCGGGGTAGTGGAGGCCCAGACGATAAACAGCGCGGATATTAGTCAATGGATGATGGGGGCATGTCTGGAAAACTAAGAGTTTTTGAGGAAATTCCCTAAGTGTGTATCCACAAATTAGGGTTGAAGAAAAAGCTACCAAATCTCAAAGTAATACTTTAAAATTAAATCCACAATATAAGTGTAGTGGAGAATACTGGATCACGTGATAATCTGTACATTTATATTTAGTTAGTCCACTTGATGAAATCTTCATGCTTCTTCGCACATCAATAAGTATGTCTAAGGTCAAAAGAGTCATGCAACATGTAAAAATAGCACTTCTTGTGTGTCATAGCTAAATATGTGGAAACACGTCTAATTATTTAAGAAGGAACAAAGAATATCGTGTAGAAACACGTAGACGGTTATGTGGTATCGCTTGCATGCAGCAATCGTCGTCTTCGTTTCTTCACAGCTGAACTATCGAAACTAAAGTCTTATCGTCAACGATGCTCTTCAACCTGGAAAACTACCGTCCACAAACCAAACTCTCACCTATTCTATGATCGTGTTCATTCCAATTATCAACTTTGTTGTGCTGGCTCGGTTGAGTTGTTAGGAGACAGGGGAACGGAGGATAGGCTGCTGGATTAGGAAAAGGTGTAAAATACAGGCTGGTGCACAGACGCTATTCATGTACTATACAACCACTTCACCTGCCGAGTTTAGTGAATCAACTTATGCAAATAATGCCACATTTCGCATCATCCATTAGTGATATTATCAATCGTTGGGATGCGCATCTAGTATCACCTTCATAGATCACCATTGTAAGTAAGATTTCACATTTGATACGTACTGAGACGCACTCAGTATCCATTGTGCCATCAACCTTGCGAGAGCGCGCCATTTCCACGGCTCACCAATACACATGAGCCCGTGCCACTCCACCGACGGACAGCAGAGTCATAATTGCCATACATCTCACAGCTCTTGACCAAAACAAACCTGCCCATCTGTTCTAATATCCCTTACATCAATTTCGAGCATCTGCCTCCCAAATTTATCCAACATAATGTAAACCCCCCAGCTGATAATCATATTCTTGTGGGCGTGTACAAGAAGTCTAAGCGAAGAGAGAGACTCATTATACCAGAGTTGTGGTCATTGAGCCAAGGATATACTTGGTCGTACTTTTAGACTTGACCAGACTTTGGTCGGAATGACCCATTTTGGGTATGAAAATTTGATTTGGTAGGGAGAATCGAATCATTGCCTCGTGGGCCAGCTTGTTCGCTGTTCCGATTTCCGGGCGAACTTGGCTCTGGGGGAATATTCTACTCCCATGTTCGTAGTAGAAACTGCGGACAGATTTTCACTTTTTGCCTGCTGTGTAGCTTAGTGCACATTAAATAATTTAAGAAATCTTTTATCAAAGGATCATCCTTGGAGAAACTGATATCAGATTTGGGATAAATTTGATCTCAAATTTTTACTCAGTAGAAGGCAAGTTCTACCCTTGGGCGCTAGAAGATGGCGCTTCCTGAATCCTTGATCCTTTGTGTCCCAAAAGCAGTCTCTTGAAGCTTCTTGAATATGATATTCCGAGGAATTACACGTATGAGCCTAAGGGTGTAACAAACTACAGTAAATATTACACTCTGACACAGAGTGGTTAAGTTAAGTGCACGAGTGTCATTCTGAAGGAACTATGGAAAAGAAAAGCTTGGACACGTGGCTTCGTCATGCTACAGACGTGAAGCACGCGTACTATCTTTAAGTGTTTCTGGATCGAATCATGTTCTGCTCACTCACGAGGGCTGAGTATCTTTACAATGCATCCAATCGGAAGATCAGGGCTAAGAGTGTGCTACTGTGACACATGGCCACCAAGAAATATGTTAGTTGAGTACTTTCCTTGAACAGAAATCAGTATCACCGATGGAGAATGTTCGCTGGAGATGCTCTCAACACTCTCTCCCAATAATATTTGAGCCATATCATATCCTTAGCTTTCCAGTTGTGAGACATTCAAAAGACTGAGTCGTAGAGATGTGGGGTCATTACTCTGTCATGGTTCCCGCGATATATCTGTGGCAACTAGCTATTGATCGTCTATTCTCATCAAAGACTTAATTAGTACTAGATATGAATCTCGATCTATATTAATATAATGGTTGTCTACAGTAACGACCCACATATGCCCCACATTCTTCGTTGCGAATGTTCCATTTCATCACTTTCGGCTCAGTCATCATCGCTCCGTAATGGCCAGTCCGCCTTGGCTATTCACGGACGTTAAGCGGCTGGGATACTCCCTCAAGCACCGGCAGAGGAAAACATCACTCCGTTATTCATAACATGAATGTTGGTTAATCCAAGCCATACCAACTAGCTCCACATTTGACCCAAAGCTCCCGTTACAATGTAGATTGAGTTGTAATTTTCTCCTACGAAGATCAAACTTCGCTTGACCTCTCACTCGTCCTGATCAGTCTGCAGCCCTAGCGGACATGTGTCCAGTAGCAGAGCTGCATAGAGCCTGTGAGATAGGCCTTTGTGAGTAATTCGTAGTTCCAATCGAATCTAACTGCAGAATCTTGGTCCCAAGCGCTTCACTTCTTTCCTTGTGGATCGAGTCCGGTATCGTTCAGATGAATTAAATACCCAAGCCTTGCAAATTCGACAAACCAAGACACCGCCAATCAGGGATACCCTCGAATACGATCCTGTCCTGGTCCAACCCAACGTCTCCAGTTTTGGATGTATGCTGAAAAGACTTGATGCCAATTATTACTGCGAACACGCCAAGTCGCACTACCGAATATCAGTGCGGACGACGGGTGTTAGTATGACTCACAGATTGTGGAAAGTATCTGTAACATATCATGAGAAGTCCACTGTCCACCTTCGTGGCTAGCTATATGGTGGAGTCCCATTTGCTGACCAGCCTTTTTCGTCTTCATTGAAAGCGAAAGTCTAGGAGTGAGGCTTGAATTGGGATCTCGACAGTGAAGTTTATGATGAAGACCTGCCTCAGCTGAGTTTCCTTGGTGATGGAGAGGTCCGCAAGGGCTGATGTCACTGGGAAATATACCGACGTCAGTCAAACTCGACTAGAAACGTCTTGGGAAAACTAGAATGGGGTATCGAGCTTGCTCCATCAATTCCTCATAAAAAATAGTTTGGGCTCTATCTATGCTGAGCTCTGCCGAACGGAACCAGTTGGTTCCGGCGATTCAGGCCCAAGCTAGACGGAGCGAGAAATATTTAAAATTGCAAGGTTGTGGATAATGCTTGTTCAGGGTAAGACATCTCATCCCTTCCAACGCTACCTTCCATCTACGATTTGATACCAATGGTACAAATAGTCATTGGTGGCCATTTGTGGATGATTTACTCGCCACCAACTTCTAGCTCCAACATCCATTTGCACAGGTAATTCTCGCTCAACGATAGACCAGCGGCTTCCAAAAAGACATTGCAACTGTCATCACTACGATGGTAAATATTCATCTTAACGTCATGACTATGCTCTGTATATCAGTCCAAATGATGGCAATGTCTATCCAAAAAATAAACCCAATGGTATTGCCAGTGCCCAACCCGAAATTTAATTTCAAGTTTAAATGTGGAGGAGTGCACCAATACGAAAAGACGTACCTAGATCTAGTTGTCAAAACGGCGTTGAAAAGATTGAATTCCGGAATGTTTTATCCTGCCATTTTTGATGAGTTTACATATGCAGCTGACGGACCTTACTGGATTTATCCGCTTCTCCCTTCTCACGAGATCTACGATGTTGGACTTCCAATTCACAAGTTGGACATCCTAAGAAATAAATATTATCATAAGATGGTTAAAGCAATTGCCCCAGATGAGTTCGTGGTATTCGATAAAAAAGGAATGATAGTTGGGGGAGTACAGTATGTTCTAGGAACTAATAATTCGAAATATTTGTCGTGTGTCTTTGCCGATAAAACTGTTTTTCAACCTAACAATAACAAATATAATATCTTCTGTGGCCAAGCCGACTCGAGCCATACGAATAAATTTCAAAGCAAGAAGAAAGCCAAAGATGCTCACAGTAGAAAGGCAGATGTTATACAAAGCGAATTTGATTCAATTGATTCCAATGCATTTTCGCAAAATCAAGATCATGGGTGTAATCTCCAATTGGTCAGTTCTTTTTAACTCAGTCAATAAAGCATACTGGCTAGCCTCAAAAGTTTTTGGCCCAATACATTTCTCTCTCTCCGACGTGGGATTCCCGGAGCCGACTGGAACAAGTCGTGGAATTGGATAAATTCATCTTCATGGTTTGGAGCAGTCTCAGAATGATATCAGTCAATAACCTGGAAGATTTATTTTGCACCGGGAGAAACATAGCTGTAGGCATTATTTAGAACCAAAATGGCTCTCAAATCAGGCGGAGGCAACTCCACATGATGCAAACTCATCAAAAAACGCTTGGAAATGTTGTACAAAAATATCTAGAAGCTTCACTTTATTTATTTGAAATGTTATAACGACACGGTAGAAGTTGATTGCGACAAGAGATGAAAATTTTCTGTTCACCTAAGATTTGAGCAAGTTTTCATGTCAGAAAGTCGGAAATTTCCTGGCTCGCCATCAACCGACGGCAAAAACGTATGATTATCTTCGAATAAATGTCCAGTGATAACGGCCCCCGTGGGTTCTTGTATTCCGGAGGCGCGTTAATCCTCCAACTTATCAATCACATATCCTAATATCCGTGTATAGGGGTTAACTTTAAATACGAGCATGAGTGAAGGACGTGGACTGAACGACTATCAGTAGTGTTCTCAAAGACCTTGAGCTGAGATGTATTAAAAATCTACAAAGCTCAGGTTAGTCCGTTAAGCTGCCAGCCAAAGTCTTTTAATCACGATAGTTTTTTAATTCAGCCAAGATTATAACTTATGCAGCAATTTAGTTGCAGATAAGAGATAATACATTTTTTATGCAATGCCTAAACCTATCATCAGTTCCACTTCTTTCCTCCGCCTTTTCACCGGTAACAGGACGAATTTCTGTTTGATGAGTAGAATTAAGGTATAAAATTCTAGTTTAGCAAGTAATTGGGAAAAACAATATTTTGTGAAAAATGTGGATTAAATAAGGTTGAGAATTACTACTGCCTCTAAAGGAACTTCCTGCTTTCAGGGAAATTGAGGGTGCCAAGAATTTCTCTGTGGGAGAACAGGCGGGGCCAGACAGACCGACCAAGTGAGGTGATGTCTGGATTAATTTTATGACAAAAATAATGTCTAGCAATCACGAGAAGAGGAAGTGGCAGGAAGGCAGCTCTAATGTAGAGATGAAAGAAGTAGATTGGCTATGAGGAGAGAGTATCTAGAGGCGGACAGGGACTATATGCTAACGTGCACGTACCACAAGTACTCAGCTATTGTACCTAGGGCCAGGTTGAGGCGAGGCCGCAACTCTAGCGAATAGAAAGACACACATTTATCTTATTAGATGCTAGGATAATTTAGCTCAAATGCAGCAAGTACCCTCTCCGAGCCAGATATGACGCCGTAAATCTAAATCTAAGATGATAGGATATACTAGGGCTATGTGAGCATTTCTTTTTCTACGGTCTTTTCTCATGCGAATTGTTGGTCGATGAGGGAGGACGTCCAAAAGTTTTAATGAGCTAGCCTAAAATAGCATCTAAGAATACGTGCCACACTATAGTTATCCAAGCTTAAGACATTCCATGGTTTTCAGTTATGTGTGTTAAAGATTTAATCTGTCCATATCTCTGAGCTTGATGATGGCCAGCAAGACGAAGAATATCATGACCTGTCATTCAGGATAAAAGGGCGAATAGGGCATTAATTGGAAGATAGGACCGATATGGTAAGGGGTGATTAGCCCAGAGTAGGTATGGGCATTTTGAATGTAGTCGGAAGCATCATCATATTAAAGAGGAGTCAAGTGCGCGATATATATATACACGTGTCCTATCCCTGTCACTAATTACCAGATCCCGCTCTGCCATAAACACCATCAATCTCTGCTATCCATCGCAATCCTGAGCATCAATATGAGTTACTATTATACGGTATGTTTGTACAGGTCGATGTCAAGATAGAAATGTTAACAATTTGAATCATCAAACATAACATGAACTTAGTAAGAAGATACAGTTTTTTGTGCTCTTTAGTTTGAAAAAATGATAACTATAAGAACCTCTTTCCCATTTAACCTACCAAATTATTTTTCCACGTCCAAAAAGGTATTTTCCGATCAAAGCCTAGTCAAGTCTACTAGCAGGACCAGGTATATCCTTGATTCACTACTTATATCTCTGGTCTAATTAGTCTCTCGCCGCATGTATACTTCTTAGACACGCCCACAAAAATATGAATATCCACAGGAGGATATTAATTATGTTGCACAAATTTGGGAGGCAGATGTTCGAAATTGATGTGAGGGATATTAGGATAGATGGGCAAGTTGATAATTGGAATAAATACAATCATTGAATGGGAAAGATTTTGATTTTTGAATGGAAGTTTTTCAAGTTGAGGAGCATCGTTGACGCTAAGACTTCGGATTCAAGAGTGCATTCCATACTGTAAACAACGCCACGATTGGATGGTACAGTGGTACATCATCTTGGCCGGTCTTCTATGTAGGGTCTGGATAGCTTGGACACATAATCACTTGAGACAAGAGAGCGCGCGTTTGAGTCGGGCAAAACTCGACCATGATTGACGCACTTCCCATGATGAGGTTGACGAATGCATCCTTAGATAACCAGAGTCTTTGAAAATTTCCTTTGATGAATACCCACCAACGCAAGTCAACCGCTCCATGTATGTAGACATATCTAATGAGTGTCTTTGCAAATGAAGCTTAGAGTGTGGAAGTCACTGAGCCCAAAAGCGTCATCCACATCTTTTTCAAACCACTGATCCCGATCATGGCTGTAAAGCTGCATACACACTGTATTGAAAAAAGAAACACAGAGTACAAAGGTTTGCATATCAGTTTTCTCTCTAATGTCGTGCCAGTGCACAACCCAAGTTTGTGAGGCTGATAGAGCTATCGAAGGTTGATATAGGTCTTGGAACAGTTGTCAAATTTAAAACGGGAACGAAGCCATTTTTCCAAGGGATGGATCCTCCAGTTAATGTGCGACATTGTAAAGGGTGTAAGGAATTCAGAATTACTCGAAGTCGATGACTCAATGGGAATGAATATTTTGCCTTGGGAGGCTTACCTATGGCATTGTATCCTGTGCTTTATATCCTCTGCGTAGACAAGTATTAACTCCCCCACCTGGCCGCCTGAGAATACTCCTTTATCCCCGCCTCCTTTTCCTCCTGCACCATGTGGCCAACCGGTATGTACCCCTTAGATAGTTCCTTATGCGCACCACTCGCATCTCCGTAAGCGCTGCTCTGTTACAGCTTAACCTCCTGGACGGACTGGTCACTGGGACTAGTCCCAATCCGGACACAGCCCGTCACAGGCCTACCGCGCCAAAAATAATCCACGCACACACATGACCATCGGTGATATCTTGTGCTCATGTTGAATGACTCTCTTTCAGCATAGGGGTCAATGACGTGAAGTTTTCCCCAGGAAATCCTAGACTCAGGTCTAATGAATAACATCACTGTCGCACACTGGCTGTTAGAGTTCCAGAGGGTTAGTTCTTGGGACTCTAATAGTCAAATTGTGTGTGACTGGTGTACAACTATGCCGTACAGTTGATTGCAGGGGAATACGTCTCATGTATAGTCATGTGACTGGGAAAGTGAACGGCCCCGGAGCTTTGTCGTGTCACAAAGAATAGGATAGAATTAAATTGAGGTTCCTTCTGGGTCTACAACTAAGAAGGACTGCTAAAGCTATCTTGATAACCTTAAAACTGAATAGCAAATTTGAGTATTGGGTTTGAGCTTGATTGAATTTAACGTCGTGCTTGTCCACAGCTCGTGACCTTAGTAATTTGGATGTTGATATTTATTACGTACCAATAGATATTGATGGTCATGCCCTGTTGTGTGGCACATTTGCCTACAGGTTTACTTACTCCACCTCGGGCCCTGGTGTATCGGCTTCATGGAGCAAAAGGGTTGGCGACACAGGCTTCTGCAATAGTAAAAGATACGGTTCCTTCATATGCTAGTCTATTTTCTAGTGGAATCGAAGACCGTATGGAATATTGCGGACCAAATTTCCCGAACATCACAGCGGCGTGAATGTCTTTTTCATGTACAGGCCTCGAAAGTACCAATCTTAGAGGTATCTCCTCGAGCAATGATACGTGGAGAGTCCAGATAACCTCCCGTCCGTACACTCGTGCGAGGAGAAAGCTTATGATTTGCTGCCAGAATCCATTCCATTGCTGAGCGAAACTATACACTGATCTTCGAATCACTTTGGACCAACAGAGCGGCCTGCCCGAAAGTCCAAGCTGGTTTAGCCTCCATCAAAGTTGACATTTAGCCTCAAAATTCTCGGGTCTTCTCTGGACTTGCGATCGAGACAGTTCCTTACCGTGGCCTTGTGACACTTTTACCCTTTTCTCAAGGTCAGGTCCAATGAGAGGAATGTCGCGAAAAAATCCATGAGAGAAAATCCGCGGAAATACGTGGCGCATGTAGCATCTTTGTTGATTTTACTTGATCCTACCTCGCGTGGAGCCGTTGGGGTGTTTTGAGGTACATAAAAAAAACAACTACTGTTCATTCGGCTAGTCTAAACATCGCTGAAGTGTTGGTACTCTGGATAGGCTGCCGTCAGACATTGGGATCGGGTTACTGCTTGGGATGATTCAGATAAGTTTCTTGGATGACAGAGTTGACATGGACAAGCGGTCGTCCCGAAAAGCAAATAGCAAAGCGTGTAGCAACATTGGGCCCACATTTGAGAGCGGGGAAACTGAGACTCAAGGCCTACATGGCGCTCTAACAAGTGTCTTAGATTGCCGAATACTACGATCTGAAAAATGACCATCAGCCAAGAGCGGTCGGAACTTGCCAGACCGCAGCTCAAACAGGGTATGGAGACTTCGCGGAATATCGCCGTGGCTTCATGACCATATGACCAAACACCACTGCGAATAGGATGGAGACAGCTGTTTGACTCACCCCACACAGCGCATTAAAGCAGTAGTCCTGTGACGAGATAAGTGCGTAGGGCGCCAGTATTATGCTCAGCTTTATAGTATGCTTGTTGTGAAAGTGTACAGTGTGTGACAGAGATATGTAGAAAAGATATTATTGTTGATAAATAATGTAGCTCGTATATAATACTGTCTAACTAAAATGTGTAATGAAAAGTGTTATGTACATGCTTTTGGCAAACAGACCCATTACGCAAACGCCAAGGCTATTAACACGTGATTCAGATTCATAACAATGCTCAGCTATGTAGTATGGTAGATCTAGTAGCTGGTGCATGGTTAGTTATTATGGCATTATGGCGCATGAAGGAGATCCAGTCTCTACATAACGTCATTACGAGTAGTACTGTGTGCAGTTTCAGAGATGAGTTGTTGATACAGGACAAATGGCATTGCTGCTCAGTTGGTTGCACACTTTGGTGAACTGCATACGGGTAACGTGATTGGTCTACAGGGAAACAAGCTAGGGGATAACAGACGAGCTTCTCCCAAACTGTTACATTATAATCATCATAGTAACTTTACTTTTAGACATTAATCGAGATATCTCTCCACAAACTATCTTAGCTGTTCCAGCGCAATTGTACACTCCCAAATCATATACCAATCACAGTAGCCAGCGCTGGAAGCTACGCTATGATCAAACGGCTGGCAGCTTTTCGATGAGTATGACGAGGCTGAACTTTCCAGGCGCATCGCGAGCCTAGTGGGTGGAAGGGTGTTTGTAGGAACGACAACCCCTATCACGTGGCTTCTTTTTTTTATTTTTTATAAAGTCCTAAGCTAAAGCTCTAGGTCCACTATCGGTACAAGAGTGGTGGAGCCGGCGGTGATCACTGCTTACAGGCCCAACTCATTCCAACCGCGAGACCCGCTACAGAAAAAGTAGAAGGTAAATTATAACTCAGAAGACACCACCTACTCCGACTCCGAAATCGAGACTCCATCCTTCAACTCTAAATCCAAGTACATAAAAATTTCCTTAGAGAAACGACACTTCTCGCCTCGTTCCCTTTCGTGTCACGCGTTGTGTCAATGACCAGTTTATCTGATCCCCGCCGAGAGCAGTGGATGAGTGAGCGTGGCTTCTTCTTGTTTTCAGGTTTGTGTTATTTATGCGCCCAATTTCGTCATTGTCTGTATGCCCCGGAAAACCAGCTAGACCTAACTTTATTTTGGTTTGATTTGATCATGTGGGAGTTCCCACGTACCAGGTCACAACGTAGTTACGAATGTCGGTTAATAGACAACAGACAAGCAGCGTGCACATAAATCCTAGCTTAGTGATTGCCCAGCCCGATCTTTCCACTTTCCACCAGGAAAGCGGAACCTGCGCTGTCGTAGGTCAGGGAGATGTGGGGGAACCCTTGACAATCTGGTCTTGATAAGATAGTCGTACGTAGCTTTGAGATTCATTCCATCCATACCACATATTGCTCCACCCATGAGATCAACAATCCCCAATCAATCCCTAGAGTAGTTTGAATCAGCTACCTATTCGCTGTGTCCTCTACGAGCCTGGGGGTCAAATACTTTCCAAGAGCCAAGTTCAGTCAAATTTCGCAATACCAAAGAAGTTGGCCCTCGAGGCAATGATTCAAAATACTCCATTATGCCAATCTTTCATTACCAACGAAATCGACTCCAACTTCAACCTCATCAAGTCTACAAGTACAACCTAGTACATTCTGATCCCAATGACCACACCTCTCTTCGACCTTCTCTGGTCTCAGCTGACCACCATATACACGCCTACGCCGATATTCAGACCCGACGGAGGAAGCAATGAGTGGCGCACAAATCTAGGAGACAGTTCTTTGGGATGGGCGTGAGAGTATTCAGAACAAGTTCTCAGGATGATGCAGAGGATGGATATAAACACGAAGGGCGTGAAATTCCGAATTTGGCAATGAGTTTTACGAACTGAGCTATGTGCACGCCAAGTCTTCGGTTGCGAGAGTGTAGCTGACACTATAAAAACAAGCCGGCGATGGAAGGTGCCGTGGTCCGCCTCCTGGTGGTGTTCTCCGGTATAGTTTGAGTAGCCTAGGCACCTACTCTATTTGGGAGGGAGACACCTAAGATTCTATTTTGCGCGGAGAAAATTCAGCAGATGATGGAGGCACGTCTGGATAACTATAGGCTTTTGAGACGTTCCCCTGGGTGGGTATTCACGGATGAGGGTTGACATGGGGTGAAGAAAAACCCGCCATAACCCCGCAGTGGTACTTGCAAATGAAATCCGAGGCATGAGTGTTCATCTTGTATATCGAGTCATCTATCATTTACTTTTCTTTGAAATTGTGTCATAGCTAGATAGCTGCATACTCAATTCAAATCTTATGCAAAAAAAAGGATTAGCTTCCTGTTGTCGTGCCCCAATTCCCGCTCTAATTCAGAAATCCGAAATGGCAGTCTCTAATCATTACTTGGAACAGAGAAAAGGAATTAATGCGTGCGCCCTATGGTGGAAAGCAGCATTCATAGCTGTAGTGGTCTCAATCAGAAATGTGGCATGCCGCCGAATAGTCAGAGCATCTTGCTTGCTCAAATAAATGACGGCAGTGATGCGCTCGATAAACTGTGTATCATGGCTTGAGATCACTCATTGGTTCCATCAAATACTTCGGTCATCTAATCTTAAATCAATTTTGATAAATTCAGCTGCGTAGCCATTTCAACGGATTAGTAACTTTACACACAGAGAGTATCCATATTTTGAGAATTGAGATACCTAACTATGAAGTTGGAGATAGCGTCTACATCAGGCCACTGCCGATGCGTTGCTGAGGCCAAACTGAAAAGTTACCATCTTGTCAGTAATATGAACTGCTTGCCACGAGATCTATTTTCCAACCCCTTCAAAATCAAACACACTAGTACCCTGTGTGTACTTTAAAAACACTATTACAAGCCGTTTTGATTTACACAGCTCCGTCAGCCCTGACAAAGCCGCGTAAGAGTGCAGGTACCACTAGATTCGAGCCTCTAGTCCTTGGAATGTTCTAAGAGGATCAGCCCAAGCCTTGTACCATAACGCCAATCGACTCCCGATGCATATGCAGCTATATCAAAGGAGCTGACACTGCATATCTTGCCCGTGCCATACCCGACCAAGGTTTATGTCGCCCCCACAAGCCAAGGCATGTTGTGGATGGATGTCAGTCCTAAGATGAATCATCACGGTAGCTAAGTATGTCCAAGCTAATTACAATGACTAATAGATCATCAGCCTCTATCCACGATGCTGTAACTTATCTTTGTGAAGAATGCATCACGTCCCGTCGTACACTGTCTTGCGAGAGTCAAGCCTCATGATGCCATCTAGAAGGATATCATGGCCTGTGCTCAAGTCACTGCACAAAGTGCATCGGGGCCATCTCGCAGTCAAACGAACTCTAACCTCCTTAACCCTTAGCTCACCCACCAACAGTTATCCAACTTCTCATTCACCGCTCAAAAATATACAAGATACGCCGTGGTTCACAGATAATGCATTTCTCCGGTCGGATACCTCGCAATTTATCGAGGTACATGATCCAGCTACCAACAATCTGGTTACGAGGGTACCCCAAAATACCAATGCCGAACTCCAGGCCGCAGTCGAGAGTGCACGCAGGGCATTTCCAGCTTGGAGAGCTACAAGTGTGATGGCGAGGCAACAAATAATTTTCAAGTTTACCCAGGGTGTACGAGAGAATTGGCATCGTTTGGCCGCAAGTATCACCTTGGAGCAGGGAAAGACTTTTGCCGGTTTGTAACCAGTATAGCTTGGAGTGAAACCCCGACTGATTCTCTCCGTGATAGATGCTAAGGGTGATGTACTCCGTGGCCTACAGGTTGCCGAAAATACATGCAACCTTCCACAATTGATGTTGGGTGAGGTCCTAGAAGTAGCCAAAGATATGGAGACAAAAAGCTACCGAGAACCATTAGGTATTGTTGCAGCGATTTGTCCATTCAGTACTCCACCCCACCCCTCCATCAAGTTCATTTCACTGCTTATGAAACTAGACTTCCCTGCCATGATTCCTTTATGGTCCATACCAATTGCTACCGCAACTGGGAATTGTCTGATTCTCAAGCCCTCGGAACGTGATCCTGGTGCTGCAATGATACTCGCCGAGATTGCTGAGAAAGCTGGATTCCCCAAAGGTGTATTGAATATTGTTCACGGTGCAGCGAAAACTGTAGATTTTATCATTGACGAACCTCAAATCAAGGCTATCAGCTTTGTCGGCTCTAACCATGTGGGTGAATATATTTTTGAGCGTGGGTCGGCAAAGGGGAAGCGCGTACAGGCAAATCTTGGAGCTAAAAATCATGCCGTTATTCTACCAGACGCTAACAAACATGATGCCCTAAATTCTATAGTAGGAGCGGCCTTTGGGGCAGCTGGTCAACGCTGCATGGCACTTAGTACACTGGTCATGGTGGGCGAGACCAAAGAGTGGCTAAGCAAACTAGTCGATTCAGCTACTGCGCTCAAAGTAGGCGGTGGGTTTGACGATACTACCCATATCGGCCCTGTCATCTCACCCCAGAGTCGAGAACGTATTGAGCATCTGATAACTTCAGCGCAAGAAGAGGGAGCTAGCATTCTTCTTGACGGTCGAGGCTATAAGTCAGACAAATATCCAAATGGTAACTGGGTTGGTCCAACGGTAATAACCAACGTTAAAGTGCACATGAAGTGTTACCGGGAAGAAATCTTTGGCCCCGTACTCATTTGTCTCAGTGTCGACTCGCTCGAGGAAGCAATAAGTTTGGTCAATGCCAACGAGTATGGAAATGGTGCCGCAATTTTTACACGCTCAGGCTCCGCTGCGGCCTATTTTCAAAGAAACATTGAGGCTGGCCAGGTTGGGATCAACGTACCCATTCCCGTACCCTTGCCCATGTTCAGCTTTACAGGCAATAAAAAGAGTGTTGCTGGTGGAGGTGCTAGTTACTTTTATGGCAAGCCAGGATTACAATTTTACACGCAACTTAAGACAGTGACTAGCTTGTGGAAGAGCGATGAAGATGGCATTAAATCAGTAGAGGTTTCGATGCCAACACCAAGATAACAGCGTTATGCTCAAGTAAATTGTCTCCAGTTTTTGGATGGATGAATATTACGGCTAGAGGAAATATAGGGTCATAAGTATGGGGATATACGGAGAGTGGAGAGAATCAGTAATATTTGAATGATGAACTAAACCAGAATGAATAATGAAATCAAATTACCATGAGGGTGCGAGTCGGTATCACTGAATAAATTAGATGGATAACTGGTATTATTCACCAAGAATTGGTAGTTTGGGGTGATCGTGAAAGTTTGTCTCGAATCGGTACAGCTAGTTTATGCTTTTATTAAATCATTGGAGTCCTAAGCCAAACCCTGAAGTCCTTGTAGAGAAAGGGAACCGTAGGTCTGGTGGGGATTTATTTATTTAGATGAGGGCGATACGGGGTCAATCCCTTGAGGGAGCAAAGGCGGCTGAGATGTGGGGCGAGAGGGGGATAGAGTCTCTTAAGAACATGCTTGGACAGACACTTTCGCGGGCTCTTCAACTTTGGAGCGTTTGTGGGCGCCAGAAGCAATATTTCGGCTGAATAGCCAGGAAGACTACGATTGTCTTTGAGTCAATGGCACTCCCCAGCGCCCCGGACGGCACAAAAGAAGTTGGGCTAAGCTATCATGCAGCAATCACGCTCTGTCAAGGCTTTTCCGACATTTCAGCACGACTTTTGGGAGGGAGGCTAGAAAGGCGGAGTGTGAATTTCCCGAGGTACCCACAAGTCTGCAGCGCCCAGCTGGCCGGCCTCTTCAAACGCTTCAGAAGGGTCACTATGTCTTCGGAATGAGTCCTAAGGTCGGTATTAGAAGAGCTCCGTACCCAGCGGTTTTTATGATTTTCCTATCTGCCATACACCCGCAAATGACCATCGTTTCTTTGGCTGGAGAGAGGAGATGATGAAGGGTAAAGGAGGGAATATACTACTGGTATAGGTGGCCCTGACTTGTAGGCAGAGAGGACCTGCAAGTCCTACGTAGTCATAGGCTCAGATAGGACAATTAAATGAAATAATATTAATGTCTTGAATTTGATTTCAATTAGCCCGATTCGGCGCCTTATGGGCCTGTACAGATGTTTACGAACTCTGATAATTACATCGGAAGAAACCATTGCAGTAAAAACCCCCTCAAGTATTGAGTTTATTCATACTTTGATTTTGTTTTACCTTCAAGAAGTGCACCAACATTGTTATTTCCAGTGCGGATTCCGCCCACTTCCTTGCTACCGGCAGGAGATTATCTTCCCCCTATTCACCTCTCTCTCATCGTGGCTTCGACTTCAAGCGTCTTTCGAAACAGCTCCGATCTTCCTTCATTTTGTATCCACTTTATAATCCTTGCTGCATCTTTCGGGTTATTTAACATCGCTTCGAATGATCGAATCCCTGCCTTTCTCAGTAATTCTCCTCTTCCTTTGGCCCAGTTGGAGCAAGCCATGATGATGTGCTTAACATTCTGGAAAGGACATCCACATTGGCATCGTGGGCTGTCTACTCCGGGAACATTTCTTCTGTACAGATAAGAATTTAATCCCATGTTCCCACTTCTTATCTGCATGGCTCTGCTACTTTAGGCCCTTTTCAGGTTTTTGTGGATACTCATGAGTGTTCCTCTGGAACTCATTCTTGTTCTTCCCATCTTATCATCTGTGGGGTCACGCCAGCACAGGTGCGCCGGAACAAAGTAAAATTTGGACAGTATTCCTCCATCCGGATAATACCTTTCAAATAGGCACCAAAAAATCCGAGGTTTAGACTTTTCGACGAGAGCGGACCGTCCATTCCATTTTCTCGTCGACGCTCCATCCAGCAATGTCAACGCTACTGGAGATATCACTCAACAAGAAACTATGCCAAAGGATAGCAGTGCGAAAAATGCTCTGGTACGCATGAAGCAACAGGATTCACAGCCAAAATTACCAAATGCTCAAACTGTGCTGGACAACACGAGTCATCCCACTTGAGCTGCATGGCTCGGCCAAGGCCATAACATGGTCAAGTAAGACCCCAGTCACTAGCAGAGCTGCGAATAATCCGAGAGCGTGGAAATCTAGATTTTCATGCCGTTATCTTAAGATCAGAAGAAAATGGTAAGGCCTGCAAGGTCACTAACATACCTGAAGAAACCATGCTTGATAATGAGTAAGACACCAAACTCACACAAGCCTAAACAGAGACATAGCACCCTTCTCTTTCACCAAGTGAGCGTGGAAAAGGGTGGACCAAACATGGAAATAGCGCTGCAGCAAGCTTGGTATGCAGAAGAACACATAGTCATGATTCAAGAGCCATGGATCTTGCGAGAAGATGGGGAGTTCACTATGAAAAGCCACCCCGGCTTCGATAGTTTTATTCCCTTTGGAAATACTGTAACGAAATCACAACAACGCGCTGCTCTCTTTGTGAGAAAGGACTTCGAGCGGCTCAGATTTCACCCTCGTCATCAAGTCTGATATGCGACTACTGTCTTGTGCGGATATGTGGACTAGCCTTTGTAAATGCCTATCGTGCGCCAGGCCTCAGTGGGTGCTATGAAACTACTTATATGCCGATTTACAGAGCTTCTAAGCTACAGGGGTCGAGTCAGTTTCGGCAAATACGAAGGTTCATAGGTTGCGTATTAACCACAACGGGTTAAAAAACTAGATTTATCGAAGCTCGGATAATCAGAAGGTACAAAATCATATATCGAAAAACAAAAGTTAGAACTAGGGAGCTATGTTAAAAGATTCCCACCAATAATGTTATGGCCAGGAATCCTTGAAGAAGGTTCAGGGAGAAGGTTCGAGGAGAAGATTTCCGGGAGAACTCCGACAATTGGAGTTGGAAGGACTCACCATGAAATAACCTCCAAAGCCTCACCTCAATCTAGCACGTAGTAGTTGTACTTAAGGAAGCTGGAGTTACCCTAAAGAGTTCTTCAGCTTCTCAATCTTATATCTCCATAGTCTAATATTCTCAGAATATCTTACAGCTTGTCTTGACCTCTCGCCCCACAGTCCTAACGTCCTGGCATCTCGCCAACTCTGTCAACCCACCAGATTTACCCTCAGGTATATCCTTTCTTAGTTACTAGTCTAGTTATTACTAGGATACTCACAGCAGACGGCGATCGCCACTCCATAGATCACCCGCCGTAACAAACAAAATCTACGCTCCATTGTGATGTTTTTTATTTTACTACTTGACTCATAGACTATCTAGTACATTGGGCTCCTCTCTGACCTAGGCCACACCTTGTTAAATGCTCCTATCCTCTTTTGTTACTTGAAAGATCATAAATATATTGCCCGTAATAAATAGCCATTACGCTCAGTGTTTACTGTTGGAAATCTAGACTTAACATGTATGAAGGTTTAGATTTCTAAGTATGATCATCAAGATCAATTGAGTTGATTCGATTGAATATCATTAAGCTCATTTAGGCGAAATAAGGTTCAGTGGCTAGGAAATGCTATCTTGCGATAATTGAGTGGCTGGTTGTTGCTAGATCACTGGGAGTTTGGGATCGATAAAGCCTCGGGGATCTATATTTAAGGATAGACTCATCTGTATATGTAAGACCAAGTCAACGGAATATTTTATATTATTAATTCATATTGAGAAGAGAGTTCGATATCCTATACAACTATCAATAAAATCTTGCCCAAAATTGTACACTTGTTCTTCGAGATATTTCCTCCTAGAAATCCTTGACAATTTCTAACACTTACCCGTAGAATTCGGCCACCTTTTCCACGGAACCTTCCACCCCAAAAAATAAAATGAAATGAAAAGGTTTCAAAAAAACCTACAGCTCCAGCCAGACGAGGCCAGGACACTGGGATAACACGTGGTGCATACATTCTTCTACATCTCTCTTCTTTGTAACATTCGAGGCCGACTTGATCCAATCCGCCATCTCCGTATCAGGTGCTGGCTACGATCTGGAAACTCATCGGATGGCCTCATCTCCATAATCAAGGGTTGGTGATGAGAGGGGCTCCGACCCTACCATCTGATCTGATGGTGGTTAGCTTCATGATAATGGTGATAGGGGAATGTGTTGAGAGATTAAAACGATACAGACAGCGAAAGCGATTGGGAATCCTCGTCGAAGTGAGGACCTTGTTGCCCAATCTCGCCTCTGAAGACTCTACCGTGAGAGCTGGAGGTTCGTAGGAGACACCACTGACAGGTGTTGAGATTAGTCCCCCTGATTCTAGCCGGTGATTTGTTGTCTCAAGTAGGATTGGCGTCCGAGCTATCCAAACTCCACTTGGCTGTCTATCCCGGATAATGTTCCACCGCACCATCAAGCCTTGACACTGTTTACGGTGTCGTCTGCACTCTCGCCATCAGAGGTTCAGGGTGGATATTGCTATTTAGCAATAAATACCTCCCCTCATCACAATATCCCGCTCTCTCAAAGTTGCGTCTATCCTTATCGTCATCCGGTATTTCTAATTTGATCTCGCACACGTCAGTCCCAAAATCTGCCTTGCCAAATTTGCGCGCCACAATCTTTACCTTCGCATGAATATCCATGATATCGTGAGCTTGTTTTTGGAGACTTGCTGGGACCAGTGACTGAGTCGATGAGAGGTGTAGTCATTGAAGTGAGGATGTAAAAGGGCATAGTCGTAGACTCATCTCGCGACTAAACTTATTCGGTATAGTGAAATTTGACTCAACTCGGCTTTGGGGGAATAACTTGATGTCACTTTTTGACAAAGATATAACGACAGGCGATCATGCTTCCTCCTTGTGAACGACCCGCTCCAGGATATAGCAGAAGGCATCCTCGCGTACGGCTCGGAACTCACATGACCGGATAAGTAGGTTTGCGGGGGCTGTGGATCGGGAATCTCGAAGAGTTCAGCCACTTGTTAGAGTTTGCGGGGTTTGCAAGATAATACTTGTGGACTCATAATGCCTAGCTTACGAGAGAGGAAGAAGATGTGCTTGCTTCCATGGGCTCCGTGTGGTCATTCCCGAAACATCGGAGGCATGCCGTCGCGCTTTGAGAACTAGCTAATGCCTGACTGGTCTGCTTGCAAAGACAGTCCGGGTCGGGACCTCAGGCATGTCGGCACATAAATACTCCACAGCGTCTCGTGATGTTTTCGAAAGCTTGGGTGATGGTAGTTTGTCCTAGACTCTACCAATGATGACTGAGAATGTCCTGGAAGGTAATAGGAACATTCCCGAGACCAGAAGCCACCTTTTCAGAATAATTAGACTTTCTAGACAAAGTCATTCCTTCGAGAGAATGCCAAGAAAGGATCGGGGAACACGTCTGATTGCTCGAACTGTGGCGCCTGATGTGGAAAATTGGGGCCGTCGGTCAGTGCACAGATGCAACACCATCAAATATATTTTATCCTTCCTCATAATTGGGCCGCAAACAGCGTATCCCAACAAGCATCTTCCACAGTCTGTTGCGACTATGAGCTTACGGTGGTCAATGAGCTGAAGCCCGTTTCTATAATTACACGCAGAATATGATAAACATGTGCTTTGCTTGTTGCAGATTGAAGAAAAGAATTATCTACAAGATTGCGGTGTCTGCACCCTGAATGGTAGCCAACACATCTGACACCCTAACAAATCACCAAGACAAAGGTTGAACACGGTTCAGTGGTGTCCTCTGTGTTTCTAGAATCGAAACTTTCACCCAAAGCCGAGATTCGATCACGATAAACATTTGAGAGTATTCTTCGACACGGCCATCTGGAGGAGTGGCCTTGGCGATTTTTGGTTGAAAACTAGACCTGTAGAGATATTACGACTGCACAACCCAATGAAACCAATCATTTACATTTCATGTACAAAACGCAGATTGATTCAAATCTGTTTGATGTTCCTTTTCAAACAACTGGCAATCCTAGATACAAGTAGAAATCCATCCCATCATAATTGTCGCGCGCGCTGAGGAAGTATGAAATAAATATCGGCCTCAAATGCGACTTGAACTCGGCCGAGGGCACCAACAACGCGACCTCTGACAAATCTCCAAGCACGAAAGACGGACGAATCAGCAAATCAACCAGATTATTCGACGAAGGCTGAGGTATCGGCGCTTCCATCTTGAGCTCTTCGACCCATATTCAGCCCCCACGGTTAGGGATACGTTAGAGATGGGGTAAGGCCGGGGTATGGACTATCTACAAAGTTCATGAGATGGTAATATCGATAGAAGGGCTAAAAAGGTAATCTGTGAAGAATAAAAAGGAAGAAAACTAGGAAGGCCTCAGTGGGCAATGTGATGAGATGCTATGACGAGGCAGAACTGGCTTTTCACGGAGGAGGTTTGAAGATCGACAAGTTTTCAAGGGTTGGGGCTCATGGTGGTCAAGTCTGAAGAGGAGTTTGTGCTTGAGCATGTAAAAACTGGGATCTCTAGATAGATGGACTTGATATGTTCAATTCATTGTTGAATGTAATCCAGTCTTTCAGCTAGGACGAGGCTCATTGTACTTCACCGATAGTTAACCTGATCCTGCCCAGCACCACTCGAGCTCGAGCTCCCGTACGAGTGCGAAGGGTGTCGATTTCCCAGCACGTTATTCCACAAACAAAACAAAGTCTTGAAGATACGATGGTTCAGGAGTTGTTTTCTATTAGCTTAAAAAAAGGGATTTCATTAGTATCTATCTATCGGAATGTAGTTCTTTGGTTATGGCCACACTATAATGTGGTTGTATGGATAGCGTGTATTTCAGTATATATTTCCTGTGTATCCCGTCATTCATAGTCATAGATTCAGTTGGGACTTTAAATCCTATTCTTTTCCATTCTTGTCTGCCCTGTGCCTTTGGCGTCTCATGCAAAGGCGAAGATATGAATAGATGGACAAATGGTGGTCAGCTGCTTATCCAGCTCGATACCAAGACTTGGACCTGCAAATGCGACGACGTGAAGCCCATAAACTATTGCTCCCTCGGAGATTACTTTGTGAACTCGATGCTTCGAGAACAGGGCATGGCGATTTGGCGGCATATCATCGTCGCTTCAAGCATGAAGATGCAAAGCTGGTTTGTAGCTGTCGGGGGTATACAGCTTTGATCCGTAAGCTTAGATGCTTTTAGTAGGCAGCTCCTTGGAAACACAGGGTTAGAGAAGTTCAAAATTTTTGTAAAGATCACAGGTTGCTTGGGCAAGCCGCACGCAAACAAGTTCTCTACTGGATGCAAAGATAGTCTCTGGGATAAGCGCCAGCACTAATACGCTGGTGGAAGAGAGATGAGGACGATTAATGCTGACTCACTACCAATTATAAATTCCGTTCTTCATTTCATATCTTCCTTACTGCATTATTTGAGCAATGAGCTTAAGATTTTTCAGCTCAAAAATAGGTGTGAAGGAGCAGGGCTAGCCGGAAGGGTGAATCTCGGCCGATTCCACCGGCCCTACATCCAAATAGAGAAAAGACTTCGCCAGAGGACTGAAAATTTTGTAAGCACATTAATGCCAAAGACGCAAACATCGTCGCAAACAAGATGACAGGCAGAATAAGAATCACCTACAGAAACACACCCCCAAATATTCACCGGAACCTTGGTAGGTCCCAAAGCAGTATTGCAGTTCAGATAAGAAGCGAGCACATTAGTCTAAATTCTCATCTGTAGCAAAGGAAAGTCCCGGGAGTGATTAGTCCAAAATGCCAGTGTGCAATTCCCTCTCCAAATGTCATACATGTCGTCTCGTCGTGTCCTCGGTAGGCAGTGGGAAGAGGCGAGATGCTTCGAAAGGCAAGAGATAGGTCCTTTGCGGCAATGCTGAACAGCCCAGGTGATATGGAGAGAATCACAAAGTGGATCCTGGCCAAAGGCTAGTTCGAACAGTTACGGCTCGCAGGAGAAGTAAAGATGGTGTTGATGAAGAGATGAGACGATGTAGACATGGTCAGGACGGAATTCACATTATATGAACCGTGTAAACGCACTTTCCAGGGGAAATCCCATAGACATGAGACAGACGGTTTGGGGGCTTTTTACCAAATTGGCTTCCTCCCTTGCAAAAATTGTAGCTAGATATACCCGAAGGGACTATGTAATATCAAATCATGTAAATAAATACCAGCAAGGACGGATTCTTCCAGTGGTATTGGTGTAACCGCTTAATATGCTCTGCATATCTAGGATGGCCAAGAAGAATCGCATCTGAATCGAAGTCGAGAGCAAACATAAGCAAATCTCTATTTGACGACTTCCCAATCATACCGCTCTTTCTATTCTCATCTGAGTCCTCAACCTCTTTCTAACCACACATCATCTCGCCTCAATGACCAATAAAGCAGTTGACCCATCAATTACTAGCCAACTCCCACTATTTATTTACGACACTGTTTATACCTGCTAGGAGAAAATCATGTCAAATTATGCAAAGTCTGGGTCCTGGCTTGTGGGGGACTGTGGCTCTAATGGAACAAACTACATGAGGGAGCAAAGGCAGCTGAGATGTGGGGCGAGAGGGGGATAGAGTCTCTTAAGAACATGCTTGGACAGACACTTTCGCGGGCTCTTCAACTTTGGAACGTTTGTGGGCGCCAGAAGCAATATTTCGGCTGAATAGCCAGGAAGACTACGATTGTCTTTGAGTCAATGGCACTCCCCAGCGCCCCGGACGGCACAAAAGAAGTTGGGCTAAGCTATCATGCAGCAATCACGCTCTGTCAAGACTTTTCCGACATTTCAGCACGACTTTTGGGAGGGAGGCTAGAAAGGCGGAGTGTGAATTTCCCGAGGTACCCACAAGTCTGCAGCGCCCAGCTGGCCGGCCTCTTCGAACGCTTCAGAAGGGTCACTATGTCTTCGGAATGAGTCCTAAGGTCGGTATTAGAAGAGCTCCGCACCCAGCGGTTTTTTATGATTTTCCTATCTGCCATACACCCGCAAATGACCATCGTTTCTTTGGCTGGAGAGAGGAGATGATGAAGGGTAAAGGAGGGAATATACTACTGGTATAGGTGGCCCTGACTTGTAGGCAGAGAGGACCTGCAAGTCCTACGTAGTCATAGGCTCAGATAGGACAATTAAATGAATTAATAATTTCTCAGTCGATCCTACACCTGCGACCCAACTCCATTCTCGTCACATCACCAACCTACACACGCCCTAACGAGTAAAGTCATCATTGAAACTTGGCGTGCACAAAGGAGGAAGAAAGGGGAACATACACCGAGGAGATAATACATATTCCCGATAATGACAACAACCTACCGGTACGAAACGAATGTGCAAGGCTAGAGCAATGATAAGATCTGGGACGAAATTTATATTTCGGAGTCAATGAGGATTTCAAGACCTCGGGCGCGTGGTGGCCGAGGCTGAGGAGGAATTTGTACCATGGCGTATCGACAGCGAGTTCTTGGACGGTCGGACTTGGTATAATTCAACACATAGGTGAAGTCTGAGGTGGTCCGGTCATTGAGGCGGGACGAGGCATATCTGTACTTTACGGTAGTTAACCTGATCCGGCCCGACCCCACCCGTGCTCTAGCTCCAGTAGGAATGCGACAGGAGTTACATTACCTAGCACTTTAATGAACAAAATAGACCCCCCTTGAATCACTGACCGCCAAACACGTCTACAGACGATTGGAGCGATAACCAGGGAAAATGGTCTAGATTTCAATGGATGGTCGGCATCATATCACGATACAGCGCCTCTGTAGATAGATGCTGGGCCCAAAATACTTCCAAAAAGGCACTGCCAGCATTGGCAGCTCCCCCAACTTACAAGCCTTAGTCGCTAAGCTCTTGATCATCTCCTTGCAGTCTTAAACTCTGCCTCAACTTTGAGCCTTGCATTATGGATGGACGGTGCGGTATTTCTGAATGGATCTATTAGTAGCATCCCGAGAGTGGTTGTAATACATCAAAGGAGTAATGAGCCTTGGGGACTGGCTGTAAAAGTGCAGGTGATACGCTACACGCAATCATGTAATTAGAGAAATACCCTGCAAAACTAGTTAGGAAGTAGCAAGGTCGAAGCCACCAGGGCAGTAAGCTCTGACCTCCATGCCTCTAGTTAGTTTAGTGGGTAGTAGGGACCTAAGTCAAGCTTGGCGCCCCAACGGACGAAAAATAGAAAATAAACAAACATCTCCTTGCAGCTCGTTCAGGCCACGAGGACTTTGCTGACTACCACCGCCGCTCCAACCACTCGGACGCCCATCTGACCTGCGCTTGCGGGCAGGAAAAGTCTCCTGATGATGTCTTCTTTTGCCAGCTCGCTTGAAGCCGAGCCCGCCTCCGTGGCGGAACTAAATGTCAAACACCATGAATATAGTGAATTCTAGGTTCTCCTGAAGGGAAAGTTGTCTTTGGTAAATGACTTCATAATACCAGCTTCTTCGAAAACATTCAACAACTACACTAACCTGTACTCTATTCGACTAATACCTGTCAGGTTATATTAGTGGTGAATTGGTATATGTGATAAGTAATTTTTCCTCTGAACATCTTCATATCTTCTGAAATTTTCCGAAAATCAAAATTCTCAGTGGAAGAGCACTTATGTTGTCTTTTAACTGTTTGGGGTGCACGGCAGGGTAGCCTTGGCCCAAATAATACGTATCGAGCTTTGTAAAAAGCGCTGGCACCTCGGGTAGTCTATATAGACTGAGCCTGCCAACGCAAGAACTTATGTTTATGTTGTGAGCTAGCATGACGTTAAAAAACAAAGCAACACAGGATGAAATCTTTATGCTTCTTCGCACGTCACATAGTCAGACTCATTAGTACAACAATAACATCTCACCCATACGGTTCATCTAAATTGCACCGCCATCTTGTGGCTCCTTACCTGGCACACCATAACACTAGCATTTCTGCGGGAAATATGAATCACCATCTCTTGAGAAGGTCATGGCCATAAGCCTCCAGCTCTACTGTATAATGATTATTATTCATTTGATTTTCGATAAAATTAGATACGGTTTCATTGTATAATGAGCAGGTTGAATAAATTACTGCATTTTTGATAATTAGGATTCTGGGCTAGACATGCCTCAGAATTGATGTCAAGGTGGGTTCAATTCTGTCAGTTATTCTCGGAGAAGACGTGTGTGCTTATTAGCATTTAACTTGGCCAGCCCACATCTATTTGATCCGTATCACCTAGCGCAAAGATAAACCTTGCACACCATAATTTGTATGGTTCACAGTTGGAGCATGATGAAAGTGAAATGTAGGTTTGAAATGTTTAAGGGAACGAACTGGTGAGCTAGGTACTATTACAAATTGTCCCATCTCGTGTTTTCTTCCCATGCTTGATGATGTTGTCTATACTCCTGCTATATCATAATTTTATCGGTTAGATTTGCAATTTAGTACCTCTAATTTTGGTTTTTCGACACTTTATTTATTGCTAGCTGGACGCCAGGAGCTTCCATACTCAGACATCCATGTTTTCGGAGGTTGACCGGACAATGGCGCACGAGCCAGCTCAATGACGTAGGCTAGTGTGGCAAGTTTTGCCTGATGTCGCGTTCGTCTAGGGTGATACGGTTATCTGCATGTGATCTTTCGTGCAGAATCAACCGTTTTGCTCCCTCGACAGCAACAAAATTGGAATTTCGGTCCGTTCTGAACCAATGAATCACTTGTGCTTTGAGCCATCAGAGCTTTGCAATGATCTTTTCTCCATTCCGAATGCATGCAACCGCATCACTCACTAGCTCATCAACAAGAGCTTTAGCACTTTTCTTTTCGTGAATCACTGCTGCAGCCTTGCCCATGAGGAACGGCCGTGAATAATCCATAGTCTAACTTGGTTAGCGTTGATTCAAAACAATAAATAAGACAAACCTCATCGTCAATATTATCTCCCAGGGATTCAATATCATGGTCAACGGGGATTATGCCCTTTTTGGTGAGCTCTTTTATCTCAGCAGCTCGATTTTCTTCCCAATTCTGGATGTATGGGTTTGTCCGAACTCTCAGTGGCCTTCCCGAAAATATAATTGTGCGTACATTATCATCATGACCCGCTGTTGCAACAGCTTCTTGGTGTGCCTTTGAAGCACCAGCTTCATCGGTAAGTATAAAGCGAGTTCCGACCCAGACGGCATTGGCACCCATCATCAGGGCTGCAGCAACTGTCTGACCGTTGTAAATACCACCGGCTGCAACAACCTGCACAGGTTTACCAGTCATAGGACTTGTTTTTCCCTTGCACATTGCAACAACTGCTGGTATCAAGACTGTTGTAGGGACATCTCCAGTATGTCCACCACCTTCGCCACCCTGAGCGCAGATAATATCGACACCTAAGTCAAGACATTTTCTAACATGCTTGGGATGTCCGATCATATTCATATAGAGTACTCCTGCACTGTGGAGTCTATCGACAACGCGCTTAGGAGGAACGCCAACTGCTGAAACAAAGAGTTTGCTGCCACTTTCAATAATGATTGAAATTAACTCGTCGAGTTTGCCCTTAGTATAATCGTAACTGAACTAGTTTAGCTCCTGAACTGTGGAAATAAAAGCCTTGATTACTTTGTCTTTCGAGCGCTTCCACCAACTTGAGGAATTAAGAGGTCTACACCAAATGGTGCGTTTTTGTCGGTTAGGAAGGACTTTAACTCATCTATCTGTTCACGAAGCATTTCTGGTGTGTAGCCTATGCCACCAAGAACTCCTAGACCTCCAGCGTTTGTTACTGCAGCAGCTAATTTTGGCCCCGCAGCTACGTTCATACCAGCAAGTATAATCGGATGATTAATTTTGAGGAGCTCCGTGACGGTGGTCTGAAGTTGCGCTACAATTCGATTAGAAAATATTACAGTGAGCGGAAGGGGAAACTTGCGAGGTGAAGCCATCGTTAATTGACTCTATGGGATTTTTCAAATTTTTTTTGGTAGCTTAAATCTCGAAAGATATATCAAGCAAGGGGATTATGAGACCTAGAGCTCTGTGTAAGTTAAGTGATCGTAGAGGTTTACGTCGAAATATCCTGAATATCTGGATAGGCATTTATCCAGTAGAAGCCGCGGCTAGCAAGGCTACATGAATAATGAACTCGACTGGGGTGATAGACGGGGTCATTATTCCTAGAGCAAGCACGGATGATCAACCCTTGAAAGGCAGATGCTTAGTGGCGATTCCAAGACGGAATGCTCCACTCATGGCCATATTTCTTTGCCTCACATGAAGTAAGCCGGCACTAGTTAAACTCTGCGATTTAACAGCCTGCAACAGGCACTACCCCGAGTCTCCCATGTCGATAACATCTATCCACTCGAAGCTGGCGGAGGTGAAGTAAGTGAGGTGGCCGTTGGCGAAAGTCTTCAACATGTGCTACAATAACTTGCCCCAGCGACTTTCCAATGATTCCCAGGAAAAGCTTTAACGAGATTCCATTTAGCCACAACCAAAAGCCATACTCCATCATCTGCACATTACAAAATGGCCTAGAGCTTGGCGAATGAGTGGAACCTGTCTTGTAGCTATTGATGCGAGCCTTCACAAGACAAGTTACTTCTGGGTCAAATGATCACGGTTGAATTATGAAGATCCATTTCCGTGCCACAAGATGAGCCACAGGTGTCATTGAGGCTTGGCGTTATTCGGAAGATGACGTAGTCTCATTGCATCTCACTATCTCTTCGTCACCAGGAAGTAACAGCCACAATCCCGGGCCTCGTCTCCTTTTACAAGCGCTATGTACTTGTAGATCACTATGGTTCTTCCCTAGGCTGCCCTCGAACGCAAGTGCTGGTTAAGGATGATTAAGGTTAGCCTCCAATTTGTCGAATCTACGAAATTAGCCTTAAGTGCCTGGCTCTCACAAACTACACTTAACATCCAAATGTGGAGAATTCGAGGGTTGATGAGGCCACCTGAGAGCTGATAAACTGCTACCCTGCCAGTCTGATCGTTAAATGACCTTAGTCATTGCAGTAAGCACGACTGAGTACAAGATAGGAAAGTTAACATATGGTCTTTCATGACAATCCCAAGGTCACGTTTTTACTAATTTTATCCCAAGTCTATCACATTTGACAAGATTCATGATGCTTAGACATACAAGCTACGTCCAACTAAACATCAATCAATATTATCAGTTCAACAGGAACATGTGATGTTTGTGTGCGTGGCTAGATGATCAGCTGCCATCATTTTAAACCTACGGATACCTAATGCTCGAACAAGGAAAATAAACCCAAATTACATTGCAGTATTCCTTGTTGTTTCAATGCTCTTCAAATAATCCGACACACACACCGAAGGTTTTTGGTGAAGTCAGGCCACAGAGCTGACTCCGACACAATTTCGGGGAATTGAAGTAATATTTATCAGAAATTCTACACAAGAGCCTGATGGAGCACATAGCAAACTGCTGCTATCAAAACTATTATCGGATCAGATAATACATTCAAGATTTTTAAAACTAATTGTTTAACTGTTTGTGCTGGCAAGAATGGCATGCAAAACCTTTGCAACTTACAGAAGAAATGTGCAATTAGCTTGAATTGAGATACTCGGTAGAACAGATGATATCCATTGGGATATCTCTGTCGGTTTGGCCAGAGGTTAACGGAGAACTCGAAAGCAGGGGGAAGTAGGGTTCACAAAGGTCATCAATAAGACCCCAAGAGCACACAGATGGGGGACGGAACTATCAAGAAGAGTGTTCCTGATGAAATTTAGACATACCTGATCGAATGATCCGCAACGCTGAGTAGACAAAAACGCTAATCTTCTAACGCTACAAGTTGTGATTGGCAGATAATAGCTAAGAGTACCACGTGATATTTATTATGCACGGGCTTTTGTATATGTCTGCTGCTAAATAGGTTCGGTAGAAATAAGACCATAAAATATTTAATTATATAAATACAACACCACCAGTTTTGATTGATTCTTGGAGGTAGAATATTGTTCTATGACGTAACCAGCACCGAGTGTTTCTACGCAAGCGACGTAGAACAAACATAACTAGTAGATAAATCACATTTTAGATTAGAAAAATACAACAAAGGAGAACGAAGGCTAAACACCTACCAGTGGTCTTCACGAACCTAGGAGTGAAATATTTTTCCAGAGCCGATTTTCAGTCATGAAAAAGGGCGAGATGAATTTTATTTATTGGATTTTCGACTTGAAGGAGTTTTACTCGGTGTTTTGGTCGGAAAATCAGTCGACAGAGATTTCACAACCGCGAGAAAGTTGAACAAAAACTCATCACCACCAACATACGATTCACGTATGGACCTAGGTCTATCTGGGGAGGGTATTCAGATATCCGATATCTCCCAAACTTCTGAGATATTCGAGACTAAGCATTACTCGGTTGACCCTACACCTGCGACCCAACTCCATTCTCGTCACATCACCAACCTACACACGCCCTAACGAGTAAAGTCATCATTGAAACTTGGCGTGCACAAAGGAGGAAGAAAGGGGAACATACACCGAGGAGATAATACATATTCCCGATAATGACAACAACCTACCGGTACGAAACGAATGTGCAAGGCTAGAGCAATGATAAGATCTGGGACGAAATTTATATTTCGGAGTCAATGAGGATTTCAAGACCTCGGGCGCGTGGTGGCCGAGGCTGAGGAGGAATTTGTACCATGGCGTATCGACAGCGAGTTCTTGGACGGTCGGACTTGGTATAATTCAACACATAGGTGAAGTCTGAGGTGGTCCGGTCATTCAGGCGGGACGAGGCATATCTATACTTTACGGTAGTTAACCTGATCCGGCCCGACCCCACCCGTGCTCTAGCTCCAGTAGGAATGCGACAGGAGTTACATTACCTAGCACTTTAATGAACAGACAAACAAATACAATGAAGAAGCCCCTCACTGATCCTGTTCTCTAATCTCTAATTTTGAACCCTTCAATTTCTTAAAATCCTTTGAGTATTAACTTGATGGACAACGTCCATCATCTTTGCTCGAGAACCCATGTTAATGGAAGGATATAGAACTTCATCATTATCGAAGGCTTGTTTAGTCGCAATTAACTTATCTGTCAGGGAAATAATGACCCCTCAGCTAGTGAAGTTGTAGAGCGCATTCATTCCAGCAACTACTAAAGTGAAAGTAATAGCGTGCGCATCAACAACGTAGCCTTCTTGATGGCCTTCACTTGATTTTGATTCTATTTAAACCGATTCGGCGCCCTATGGGCCCATGCAAGTGGCAATAAACCTATCCGTGTATTTAAAAAGAAAACCTTGGCAACTTTCCAACTTATTTCTCGAAATAGTTCGATTTAAACTTCTGGAAACACAATTACACTGTGATGCAGTCTTTGTGCACTGATCCCGTCTCCTGTGTCAAACCCACACTTGTGCCGTCTTGTCTCGTTCCCTCAGTTCCATTTGTCATGCAGAACTTTTCTATGCAGCCATGATCAGGTATCACGGTCCGTGAATTGATGCATGAGCGACGCGATATACGAAGGTAGTTTATAATTTCTTTTGTGACTAAGTAACGAAGCATTACTTCAAAGATTTGTACATTTATGAAAATATCTAGAATACTCGTTCTTGGCTGATATCCGCTTCTCGCACATTCCACTCGAGGTAGTTCCCAGTCTTGCTACTAACGTATAGAATATTCCAGTTACAGCTTAACTGATCTGGGATAAAGCCAAACTACTGTAGAATTGAAGTAACACGTGATTACAATCACGGGCCCCACAACAATCGGCTCACGAGCCGTTACACTAAGGATCTGTTGTGTGATCCATTTGATGTCGCCAGGATGGTTTATCAATGGTTCGAAGGAGCATTTTCGGGCTTTTCTTCAGATCTCTCCTCTACTGATTGACCACATAAGGCAGGATAAGATCATGTGCTTGGGATTTTGTGATGGGTGGGCACACGGTTAGCATGGGTAGCAGACTCCTGGTAGTTTTCTGTGTGAATACGAATTAGGTCCGATTTGCTCGCTTCGCATTTGGATTACCAGGCTCCTCTGGGCCCTATTTTGTGTGAAGTTGATTGTGTCATTTGGGTCGACCACTATCTGGCACGTTGAGTTCCCCTCTGACCCAGGCTACACTAGCCAGCGGTGCCGATGTAGACGAACTGTAAGATCTGCACATCGTGAAAACCCCAAAAAGAACCGCATGCCATGGGGGACGAATTTCAACACCTGTCAGTGGTGTCCCCTATGAACCTCGAGCTCTCACTGAAGAGTCTGCAGAGCCGAGATTGAGTAAAATCTTTTCAACATTGAGCTGAGTTATCTCCCCCTTCATCAGAGATACGCTTACTGATAACTCACAAGACGACGATAATGATGCTGGGAATGAGGAAAGATAACGCGGTACCAAACGCTACAACAGTAGTCAGAGAAGCCCTCGTTGTATCACAACATGTGCTACCCACCGGCAGGCGAACAAAAAGCCCACGAAAGCAAATTAAAAGACCCTTCGGCCCTCAAGAAAAGCAGATTTCGACTCGTCAAAAATATCGTCCCTTGTAGCTTTTAATTCCGAATTTAATAGCTAGGAGAGCTTTTGAAAATCATGAATTATTCGACAACCCCAGGTCCGCAACGACTTTTGGATGCTAGACTAGGCTCCTTCACGACAGTCACTCTCGACGAAGACTTGCCTGGAATCCTTTCACGATCTTCGGTTTTTCCTGCGGCATGAATCAGGAAAAAAGGAAGGAGGAGGAGGCCATTAAGGTTGAGAGACGCTCTTAGGTATACACAGGTCTACTACGCCCGGCTGGCCGGCCTCTTCGTCATAGGAGAGCCCCTCACCCAGTGGTTTTGAGGCTTTTCCCTGCAGCTACATACCCGCAAATGGCCATCGTTTCGTTGGCTGGAGGGGGGGGATAATGACGGGATAACGTCTCCTCTTTGTGTGTATTCGAATTAAGAGCTGTGGGGGTTATTAGATAAGATTAGATTTGTATTATAGTCCTAACTGAGTCAATGACTATTGAGGACTCCTAGAATCTACAAATAAGATACTAGCTACATGTTTTAAGTTCCAACTGTTTAAATTTACGCTTTGCTCCCATGGACAGTGAGGGACAAGCCCAAAGCTGTGGGGGTACTACTGTTCAAAAAAGTCACAAAGGAGGCATAGGAGGGAGTACAGTATTGAGGCGTAGATACTCCCGGCCTGTAGGCAGAAAGGACCTACATGTCCTTACATAGTCATATAATCATTAGGACAATAAGCACATACATACAACCGCATCCGCATCGAGGCCTAATCAAAATTGGACTTCCCATACCGGTACGATTCTTCAACTTCATTTCACCATGTATCGCTTCGTATGAACTTGCAATGAAAGAGATTCCCCGGTTGCATCCGGGAGCTTGCCTCAATACTCACTGGCTATCTCCCGCCAATAGATTACGATGCGACAATTATCAGCAAGCATCAACCAAGTCACAAAAAGCAATTCTCTGATCGGAACTCGCGGGAGAAAATGGGGACAAGATTATTGATGGGCGTGTTGGGATTAATGTCTGGTCGAGGGACCTATCATATTTGGATTTTTTAAAACGAACGGGTTGATTGTCTTTGCTTTTAAGTCTCCTTTGTAGGGTACAAATTACCCCTGGTGCCGCATATTTGGGAAACCCACTGTTCATTCGTGAAAAAATGCAAAGATGACGCTAGGGAGATGATGTTTGAGAAATAGTTTCCCCTACGCATTGGTTAACTGAAAAAGGACAGCCATGGATTAGTATAATACCATGATCGGGCGCTACGAACCATACCGAGCACCTTGTGGTGTTGAGACTCTAGCGTGGATCTGTCTTGGGCCCACCAGCGAGGCATTTGGAGCCGAGGAAAGGGGGCTGCGTACATGCGTAGGTGTGTTGGGGGTCCGAGATGGCTCACGATAGACCATCAACTCAGAGCGCGCGTGTAATCTCGAATCAGCGGATGCGCGTGGGTTTGTGAAGCCTGGTCTGTCGCTGTTGCCTCGCTTCAAGCCGAACATACCCACTGGGAACACCCACACGCTAGTTGAGGTTTACAAGGCGTTAAGGGAAAGAATGCAGATCTTAGTCTTGGCGCCACTACTGCCCCGTCCCGAACCGCCATCTGGATGCACAGGGGAGCGTGGAATAATTCTTTTTACTGTCCTGTCTGAGCCTATTACTAACTAGGACATGCAGGTCCTCGCCTCTTTTGTTACGAGAAACATCTCTCATCAACGTCCGAAATGGAAAGTCATGCAGCTTAGCAATAAACCGCAGCATTCAGCCACTTTTCCACGGAACGTCCTACCCCCAAAGCAGCTAAGCGTAGAAATGGAATCTGAATACGCGTGAGGTTGATAAAAAGCCTGCAGCGCCAGTCGTCCGGGCACCAGAGCCTCACCAATTGCTTAGACCCATCAATGTCTCCTTTTTTCATGGCACAAGGGATCAACCTACCTTCACCTTATCGGGTGCTGGGTACGCTGCGGAAACTCACCGGATGGCTTTCTATCCGTGATCGAGTGTTGAGTTGGGCTTCGGCAGTACTATTTGATCTGATGGTGGTTAGCTTCATGATTGTTAAGCGACTAGGGATCTGGCGTAGAGATATGGCGCTATGGACGCAGTAAAAGTATTTTCGTCATTACTCGCTAAAATCTCATTATACATATAATTCGTAGACCGAGCTTTGTCCTTTAGCTTTATTACCACCCAAATCTTGGGCTCTTGCTTGCCACAATCAGCGTCTCACAACAACGATATTGGTGATGGAGTGATGTAGTGAGATGTGAAGATGATACAGATGGCGGAAGCGATTGGGAATCCTCATGGAAGTGAGGGTTTTGTTAGTCAATATCGCCTCTGCAGACTCTGCACTGAGAGCAGGAGGCTTGTTGGGACATCATTGACAGGTCTTGAGAATATTCACCGTCTAGTCATGGAATCAATCGGATAATAAACCTGATTAAAATACCTCGTCCTCTACCTAATCACGCCACAAGCATCAGGGCCGGTCCGATGTATCTGCACCAGATGGAACTTTCGCTCTCGGTCCGGATCCAGAAATACAAGCACAGGCTTACCTGCAACAGTTATTTCTCTTGTGAGTTTTTGAGTTCTGTCGGGCCATGGCCACAGCTCTAGCTCTGGAGCGACACGGTGGCCGGTCGTATTCTGGCTGGATTTGGATTTACTGATTTTCAACTATAAATAGGAGGACTATTCTCAACACCTACCAGCGGTGTTCCCTGCAAACCTCCTGCTCTCACTGTAGAGTCTGCAGAGCCGAGATTGAGTAACAAAATCCTCACTTCCATAAGGATTCCCAATCGCTTCCGCCGTCTGTATCGTCTTCACATCTCACTACATCACCCCATCACCACTATCATGAAGCTAACTACGATCAGATCTGTTTGGATTAGGTTGTAGTTGGCAATTCATAACCTAATTGTGTTAGATTGTAGGCTTCTGTCTTAGGTATTCATGGTTTCGTAATTAAGGTTATTGTTAAGGTTTAGCTTCGGTTATCTCACTGATTACCGAGCCGGCAGCATATCAAGAAGGCATGTAGCTCAGGTGGAAGTATCGCACGGTAAACTATATCTGAAGCTGGTACGTATTGTAGTAGCTAAAAGAATACTGCTATTCGGAAACTACATCTCCATCCCAGAACCATGAGATAAATCAGGCTATGCACGCTAGATATAGAATGGCTAGCGGACATGGTGAATATGGGGGTAAATACGTAGATATATAAAGACATTGTAGCCTCTGATTTTGAGGACAAGTCTTCAACCAAATTATATCGGAATTAATCCTAGCCTCTCATTAAGCAATCTCGTGAATCTATTTCCGTGTCTGTGATAACAGACCAATAAACAAAGTCGACGATAAAGTTTATAAAGTCGATTAAGATCAGATGGTAGGGTCGGAGCCCTACTCATCACCAACCCTTGATCATGGAGGAAAGGCAACTGATGAGTTTCCGGAGCGTACCCAGCAACCGATACGGAAATGGCGGATTGGATCAAGGCGGCCTCAACTGTTACTAAGAAGGGAAATATAGATTAATATGTGCACCTCGTGTGGTCCCGGTGTCTAGGCCTCGCCTGGCTGGGGCTGCAGGTTTTTTGAGACTTTTTCCCGCACACGCAGTCGCCATTGCCACTTTGGTACAAGGATCCGTAGATATAGTGGCTGTCTTCCACGGGTAAATACTGAGCGGGATGGCTATTCATCATCGGCAATATATCAATGATACGTGCAGTGCGCCGGCACGAAATTAATACAAATTGTTAGAAATTAGAATAATTAAGGCTATCAAGTAGGCCACGTTGATACGCAAGTGACTACAAATTCTGTGCTTAGTTTCACTTCGGTAGTTACTTGGATCAATGCGCTCTACAACCTCAATGATGGAGGGCTCATTATTTCCTCAATATAAAAAATATCAATCATCTTTCAAGTGACAAAAGACGATAGGAGCCCAATATGTTACATAGTCCAAGATCCGAGTATGACAATAAACATACACTCACGGTCTTTTGAAATTCGAACTTTCGAATCTTCCCTTTTCCCCCTCCCGCGCTCGCCGCGTTTCTCGAAAATTTGTAATGGGGCCACTGGCAGCTTGACCATGCCGACTGTCCTCCAAAATGCCCGGAGATGGGCCAGGCCGCTTCGAGAGTGTCGGTAAAAGGATCATATTTGGGCAATATGAAATGCTCTATGTAGTTGCGGTATTCATGTAGTCGTTGGGACACTGACAGGGATCTGACTTAGCTCAATAGCGAGGCGCTTGGAGTAGATGGAGAAAAGGGAGACAACGTCCTATATATTTCGAGATACCAGTTAATTGACTTTATTCACCGACTTCGTGACGGCACCCAATTTGTATTGCTTCGTGTTTTACCAACAGAAAGTCAAGGAAAAAGCTCTCCCCACCGTCGACGAGCCCGATGCTGACATGATGGGGTCAGTCGAATTCGAATGCTATTCGTCGCAGGCGTATGCCCCACCCCCCAATTGGCACGATACGGGTATGTGATCTATAGCGACTCACTGCTGCCTACATGCATGGCTTCGCCAAAAAAAACCATGAGAAATAGAACTATGAGACTACGATGCAGTCTGTCCTCTTCTTCTCAGCAATTGACCAATAGAACAACCACTGATACCCCTACGGGAGCCTGTAACCCTCCGTCTACAGCCTTTTCCCTGCAACATCTCGTTAAACTTGCGAATTTGTGAAGTTTGTTCCATCCTTCTTGTCTCGGCATCTCGATTAGCCTTGGGGGAGGTTCCGGTTTCATGTTTCTCCACCATTGTAGGGCTACTCGGCATTCTACAAAGTGCCAGGGCCATCATTCTCGACCGCCCTCACATTTGGCTTCGAAATCTTCATTGTATTTGGCACAATCGCCATGGCTAGCCCTAGCTGTAATCAGCCAGCAGTTGGCCCATCTCGGTAAAGCAAATTCTGGAAGTCGCTTCCGAGTCCTCATAAGATTTAAATCCGTATAGTACTTGGGCGCATTTTCCTGGCACAACGCTACTACCACTACTAGCTCCTCTGCGCGCGCTCCCCAATAAACATTTTCAGTGATGCAAATGTGAATTTTATTTTGCGGGTTTTAGGGCAAGACCCCCAATTTCCATTGGATAAAATTGAAAATAAAGTACGCATAAAAACAAGTGAATTTTGGCAGCATTTTGTCTAGTTTTAGCAGCCCTTCATAGATACAGACTCAGCAGAGACTTCAATTTACTTCTATTCTATTTTTAGTCTGTGGGGCACCTCCGTGGGAAGTATAGCGTTGATCATCTCATTTGGAGCTTTGATTTTTTGCATCAGATTTGAATTGCGTGTGCAGCTATCTAGCTATGACACAATATCAAAGAAAAGTACGGAATAGATGATTCAACGTAAAGGAAGAGTACTCATGCCTCGGATTTCATTTGCAAGTACCACTGTAAAGTTATGGCGGCTTTTTCTTCACCCCAGGAGCTTTGATTAGGGCTGCTTTGGCAAGCTTGTTTGCAATCTCATTTACCTCAACCCCTGAGTGCTCTGGTATCCACCAAATTTCCACTGACTGGTGTTTTTGACAGTCCTTGACAAACTTGTCAACTAATTCCTGGAATGATATTGACCTGCCACTACGCAAGGCCTAGATAGCTTGTGATCTATGTAAGAAGACCTTGATTGAATTGCTGCCAGCTACCAGTGGTGCTGCTTCGAGGGATTTCTGGGCTCCCAAAAGTTCTACTTCATAAGCCTCTGCGCCGCTCCCGATCATTTTTCCTACTCTGAATAGAATGTATCCCCATGCAGATTTCGCTAGTCTACAAGATGAACTGTCTAGGTACACACATAAAGTGTCTTCTGGCAAGTGCTGTATCAACAGTTTGGCTGGAGAGGTTTCAGACTGCTTGTTGAGAGTCGCTGATCGGTAGCTGCGATCCGATGCTGGATAGAAAAGTCTTCCCGACTCCACAGCGAGCGGTACGTTCTGAATGCTGGTCTGCAAACGTGTCAGGTAGCGCTCTGGATTTGTGAACGATCGGTTCTTCTGTCCTGCGCGGAGTCCTAGGCGGTTTATAGTTTCCTATGGACATTCTTGGCATCTTGCTACCAGAGTATGCCACAAGTCCATTCGTTGAATTAGTACTGCAGTACTCAATTGTCTTTTCTGAAGAGGTACCAGACTCTCTGTGGAGAAGCTTGTTCGGGGTAGTTCGCCATGCCGGTAGTGCTGCCCGGATAGCCTTGATAGTCGTGCTGTCCAAGAGATCAGTATGCCAGCCGATTCCCGTGCTCAATTTCTTGCTCCAATTAGTGGTGACCCGGGTTAAGCCCTGTCAACATGCTTCGGCTCCATACATCGCTGTATTTATGATACATGCCGGTACTGCCTTGATCATTGGTTCCGAGCCTGCGCCTCATTTCAGGCTATTGATTCGCCGTATAAGCTACGTAAGCCGTTGATATTTCCCACACTCCAATCTTGCACATGCTGCTTGAAGTTGGGTTGGGAGTCTATCCAAACCCCAAGCCATTTTATATGCGGGGAAGGTATTATCCTATTGCCTTGGATCTGCATAGCTAAGCCTGTCGTGTTCAGCTTTTTCTTGGGACTCCCTCCAATATCAATAGGTTAGACTTCGCCGGGTCAAAACTTATTTCATGCTCGTTTGCAACCCGCATAAGCTTCTCCACTTCTGCTTGACCATTTTCCACCGCTTCAGCTGCTGTGATTCCAGTGGTTAGAATGGCGATGTCGTCTGCATACCCAGACTTATGGACTTCGCCCCCATCTTTGATTATAATGGCAATGAATATTAGTAATAGAACTGGTGAAAGCGGTTAACCACAAGGGACCCCACACTCCACGACTTTGCCATTGAGTTAGTCGAAATTGTTGGGGAACTTCCTCCAGCAGCTTTTATCCCTCACGCGATTAGAGGACCCTCCAATTCATCTTCGGCAGAGTCAAAACCGTCGGAGAAAGCTGTACTAAAGTTGAGTACACTTCGGAGCTTCGACCAATTCTCGAGGCCGAAGAACGACGTTCCGCCGCCATCCCTGGCATAGAAGCAACCCTTTTATCTTTGAACAACGGGCCAAACAGAAAATTCATAGACTCCTTGGGGGTCTTACTACACGCTGCCATTGTGCAATACACAGTTGAAACTATGAGATTGAACAAAGATTCAGGTAAGAGCGGAATCTGTGTTGGCGTTTAGACCGATACAGTAAGTCTTACATGAGGTTGTAGAAGTAAGATTTGAGTGGAAACAATTATATTGAGATGTATGGTTCAGGGTAAACTTAAATGATAAAAGTGAGATTGCGTCTGCGCATGTCTTATCAACTGTGGATTTTGACCGGTACTTATCTATCTCCATGGATCATAAGTTATGGTGCCTGTAGAGGTAGATCTATGTACATACACATATATAAGCCAAGAATATAAAGCTAAATACATGTGTGTCGGAAATAAGTCCGAGAACCTTATGACTTGTATTTGAGATACAGTCATCCGCTGGAATGCTAGTGTGAGATAGCTACTAGTGCGCATTAAATTTTCTGTGGGGGGGGGGGTGTATTGATGACAATGATATATGATGGGGAATTTAATAGTCTAATTGGCCAGACTTACAAATATATTATTTTTGAAATTCCAAGATATATGATATTTCAACATACACAGACTCTGGCCCGGACTCAACGTCCAGTGAACCCTCTTCCGAGAGCTCCAGACGTCCCGAAGACGAAGGTCGACAAACAACTCTTCCTTCACCTCAGAAGCGATCATTCTTGGAGGAAGTCGTCACCCGATGGTATACGAACCGCCATATTGGAGAAGGCCAACTGCGATATATTAGGATAGCTTCAATACCGAGTTAGGATCGGCCCTAGTTTTACGGTATAGGTAGAAAATTGAGACAGAAGATCCTGGACGCATCTCCCATCTTGGCAAATTTCAATGCCAGAGTAGAGGAAGCTTCGGGCCTAGTATCCTCACGGATACTAAATGTGCCCGTAAATTTAACTTTTCCACACGGAACTAGACCGTTCAGTGTGTTGTTGTTGTTGTTGTTGTTTTATTCAAGTCCTAAGCTAAAGCTCCAAATCCACTATGAGTACAGGACCGATGTTCACAGCCAGAACTACATCTAAGACATACCCAGCTTGATTCCACCGCATGAACCACCACAAAACCAGCAGTAAGTTAAAAATATGCGCCGACGCGAACTCCTTTTCCCAAAATTGACAAAAGAAAAAGATAAATTGCAAATAATTTAGAATGGGAAGCAATACTTCTCGCCTCGATTCCCATTTTGTCAGGTTTAGTTTCCTGACGAGTTATATTCGATCTCCACTGAGAGTAGGAGATGGATGCACAGGAGAATACCCAAAACAATTGGTATCCTGTGCAAATTGTTTGAAGCTCTCGAAGCACTTAGGCCCGAGTAGCTTATGTAAGAAGGCATTGTGTGACAATGACCCTCTGATTCGACGCGTGATATTTGCGTTGAGTCGACAATGTATGAAGTGGGTAGGGGTGGTTTCCTCCCCACAGGTGCACTCTGTAATAGCGTGCGGATTGTTGAAGCGACGATGGTACGCCGCGAAATTGCCGTGGCCCGTACGGGCTGCAATGAGATGTCGTAACTGTAGCCTGGACAGCCCAAGTTCTGGTGGTTTACGACGGCGCATGAGTAGATCTAGCTCACGATACCGTGACGGGCAAGTTTCATTCCACCAGCTGTCGAGCAAAGTCTGTCGCTGTCGATGCAATTTTTGGTGTGAAAATGCTGTCGTGGTGGTTGCTGGTTTAGTTTCCACGCTGGGAAGCGTTCGTAGGGCGGATTTGGCCGCTGCATCTGCTTCCTCATTTCCATGTATCCCCGAGTGTCCTGCTACCCACGTTATTCTTACCTGAGCTAGCCCAGACAATTCGCG